CTAAGAAATGCGACACTGTGGCTTTCCCATCTTACAATGGCGGCAAGTAAAGCACTCTAATTTCTATTTGACTAAACGGCTCGTTTTAAAACTTGTCAGAAACCAACTGAATAATGACGAGTTGTAAGATTTCTTTCGATTCAATTAGTAAATAAAAAAAAAATAAGAATATCGGTGAGGTCTTTGTACGGGGGCTCAATCAGGACAGGGCTAATTCTGTGAAGCCGGTTCGACAAAAGTCAATTTTGTAAACAAAAATCAAATTCTGGTCGAACCGGTTCACAAAACTCAATGTTGTAACCAAAACTCAATTACTGTTCAATCCTGTCGCAAAATCATTTTGTACACACTAATTCTTCTGTCGAACCGGTTCAGAAAATCGATTTTGTTGCCGCATATGGACACGCATGTAAAGAAGGACTACCATTATGTCAGAAGAAACAAAGATGGGCGACGCATGATACATTTCTCGGAGCCCAGTTTCTGACCATGGTAGCCCTTCTTAGATGCTTGTTTGCGCATATTTGGGGCAACAAAATCGAGTTTTGTGGAACGGTTCGACAGAATTGAGTTTGTGTTTACAAAATTGAGTTTTGTGGAACGCGGTTGACAGAATTGAGTTTTTTGTGTTTACAAAATTGAAGTTTTTGTGAAGCCGGTTCGACAGAATTGAGTTTTTGATGTTCACAATAATTGAGTTTTGTGGGACAGGATTGACAGAATTGAGTTTTGTGTTCACAACACTCATTTTTGTCAAGTTTATAGGTACAAAAATGCCTGTCCTGCATGGCGCCCCGTACTTTGCTTCGGCACTATTGTTGAGTTGGGTTTGAAAAAATGTTTTTCCAAGGCTAGTTAACGACCTAACTTCTGTGACATTGTCGATGGTATGACCGTACTTTATAAACAACTTGAACATGAGGCTACGCCTACCATTTATTGTCTAACCCAACCTCACTGACGAACTTCTTAGATAATGTCTTTTAGCGGTGTATGCTTATATAATAGCCTAGCAGTCGCTTAGTAACACATGTCAACGAAGATACGTATGAAATGTCAAATATGAGTTGTAGCAGGGGTACATGTTATATCGTTCTGTCATACTCTTAGTCCGTGTACAAAGGAAACGTATATAGTTCTAATATTAGGTTACAGGTACAATATAAATGGATTCGCCGCGTCATTGTGGCACTTGGCAACCGAAATTGCCGTATTAGCTGCAACGTATAGTGTTCGCTATCTGAAAAGGTCAGGGCAGTTTCCATGCCTTTCAGCAGCTTTCGCTGAGAGCTAACAAGTACTCTTCTCAACTCCTATGTGAGAAAAAGAATCCAAGAACAAATGTGGATATAATGATGTGCAATAATTACTTGTCCTGTGATGTTTGAAAGCTGCTGCTTTTTTGTCATACTAAAATTCTATAGGCTACAAGATTTTTTGTAACCGCATATGATGCCTTTTGTGTGCGTGCCTGCGTACGTGCGTGTGTGTGCGTGTGTGTGCGTGCGCGCGTGCGTGCGTACGTATTTCACAACACTTTGCATAACTCGCCGCTATGTGACGTATATGCCTACCCATTACTATGATAAGCCAGCCTACGATATATGAACATCGGCTTATACGAACATAAAAAGGCTCCCTCTCCCAACTCCACACACGCGCGCAAATAATTATGCGCGTGTGATGTTATAATCTGTTTTGGCGGGTAAACGGATAACATATCTCAAATCCTGTAATGATCTTCTTATGCACGACATCACGGCAAAACCGTTACGCGTAGTGAAACATTTAAACGTGGAAAATCAGAATCGCGCCCACATGCACGCCTCCATCTTATGCGCTCGGGCGCCGTTTTCAAAAACACGCGATATTTCCCATAGTCGTGACTTCACGATATTTTTGAGGAATGGGTTCCAGACCGGTTATCTCCCATCTTTCACGATGTCTCGGAGCTAAACCACATATTGGCAATATAATACAACGTGTGTTTCATATAACACGGCATTTTGGTCCTGAGCCCACGCTGACAGGTATAGGCACACATGTACGAGCAGCCTGTACGACGGTTACACCCACCTAATGGGAATTATAATGACTAGCGGTGCTTCATCGTAACAATCGCTGTCACGAGTGTTCGTCGCGAGCCGAAGACGAGCCATTACCGATCGTCGTACTAACAATATTTACGATAGAGCAAAACACGCGCACACCCACACACGCACGCAAGATCCCGCACGCACACACGCACGCAAGATCACGCACGCACACACGCACGCAAGATCACGCACGCACACACGCACGCAAGATCACGCACGCACACGCACACGCACAGCATACGCACACGCACATGCAAGCACAAGCATGCACGCTTGTACACACGCACGCACTACGCATACTCAAAATAATAAGCATCACGCAAAACATTACAAATGACCCCCTTTTAACCTATTTTAGTTCAAGTTATAAAAAAAGAATTTATGCCACGGATTATAATTCAAAACGCATAAATCCGTCACACGCCGTTGCCTCCCGGCTCGACCGCCAATCAAACCGCACGAGTCCATCACGACATTTCCACGTCAACGCCGCAACCACCAGGTGGCGGAGCCGATACCTACCTCATCGTATGGGTCGAGGCAGCACATGCAAGTCTTGCAGTCCATACACTGCCACGGGTAGTTCTTTATGATCGGCACCATCTCGTCCGTTAGCTCCAGACACGTGGGATGCCCTGCGAATGGCGTGTGAAAGAGGGAAACAGTTACCACACACGCACACGCAAGCATTCGTGGTTACATCGTGTTTGTTACAACTGTACTTATAATTACAGTTAGAATTACAGTTGTAATTATACTGGTTCTTTAACGCACGCAATCACTACGTATCATTATGCTCAGTGAATGAGTTGATTAATTAATAATTAATTATAATATTAACTAGTGACAATCAATATTATATTATAATTTATCATGTAATACTATAACAATATTTACATTTTATATTAAGTTATAAACGCTTATTAAATATATTAATTAATTAATTAACACTAACCCTAACCCTAACAATATAATTAGAAAGGATTCTAGTGCTAGTGAAGATTACTCGTACACTTGGCACACCAATGCGGTTCACGACCACAGCCACACGCGCACGCACTCAGTAACGGACTTAGCTCGTCTTCACCCAGTACCAGTTAATACATACTAGTACCAATCAGCACCTTCTAGTATTAAATAGTGCCTTCTAGTACTACTTAGTACGTTCTAGTGCTAGTTAATACCTCCTAGTATTAGATAGTGCCTTCTAGTACTAATTAGTACCTTCTAGTGCCAGGTAATACCTTCTAGTTATAGTGCGCGAGTCACTCACCGCTGTTGTCACACTGTGAGCAGTGCAGGGGAGATTCTGGTCGGTTGTGCTTGTTGCTCTCGCTGCCCTTCAGACAGACGCCGCACTTGGCGTCGGGCTTTACCTTCGGCTGAAACAGACGCAGGCGCAGCGGGGCGACCGCCGATCAGCAAAGAACCCTGATATATATTTTTTACCAGTGGGCCCGTTGTCAGATACAAAGTGAGTCTTAACATTAGTCTCAACATTAACTTCTCGTGGACCGGGCCTACATACACTGCGTATGAAGATATCCTAACTTTATCATATTTCTGGCAACCGTCTATGATAAAAAGTCAGTGATAAGATTAATGTTAAGACTATTTTTGTTACTGAAAAATGGTCCTTTAGTATTAGCTAGAATTAAGAAGCGGGATTGAGACGTCAAATGACTGGAACGTTTGCATCGGTTGCCCTAGTATTCATTCACAATATTTTCATGAGTTTTCTATAAATTATAAGATGAGACGAGTCAAAAGAAGCAAAAATAAAAAAAGCGCACAACATAGATTTAATCGCCGAAATAAGTGTGTGGCCGTCAGCAGCAAAATTGTCAGACTTATCTAGTACGTGAATAGGTCGTCGAAAAGACGGGGAGACGGCTCGCTAACTGACACTCTGTTGTCAATGCAAAAAGCAATACTGAACCTTTTAATCACTTGAGCGATGAAGCTTAATACTTAAGACCTACTACCTAATACCTACAACTTAATACCCAAGGCCTAATACGTACGACTTAATATCTAAGACCTAATACATGCGACCCAATACCTGGTATCCAGCAACGATGGGACCGACTAGTGGCTTGGGTGGCTTGGGAGAAGTGTACTCCTCCTGTTTCTCGGCCTCTCCCTCGCTGCTACTAGAGCTGTCGCTGCCGGAGTCCGAAGAGGAGTCCTTGTGAAACATCGCGAGAGAACGGGACATTGACAAAGATGCTATCTGTCTATACACACGAAGGTTTTTTGGAATCTCTTGCCTAAACGTCGCATATTTTACTAACTTATATTGTACACTATAACTCTCTTAAGTCACACGTCCTCGAAGACAATATTTTGTGCTCCATCAATAAATAGAAACGTGCAACGTCGATAAGATTGTGACGGAAATTTTAGATGACGAATAAGAAAAGCAAACAAAAACAAGCATCGTGGCAAGTTGGTCTTTATGTTTTACCACGCGTAAAAGCACGGAACGGTTTTACCAGCAAAAGATTGTTAATATGTAAAATTTCCACAAACAACTGCTATTATATGTGAACACGGGTGAACATCTCGCGATGCAGCTTGAAATTCTGGACGATGTTGTATATCTCTCGCCCCCTCCTCTCTGTCCCTCCCGCGCCCCCCCACCTCTCTCTCTCTCTCTCTCTCTCTCTCTCTCTCTCTCTCTCTCTCTCTCTCTCTCTCTCTCTCTCTCTCTCTCTCTCTGTCTCACTCACACACACACGCACGCACGCACGCACGTGCACACACAAATACACACACACGCATACAAACACGCACACGCACACGCACACGCACGCACACACGCATGCATGCACACACCGTTGCGGACGCGCTGTCACTATCCGAGTCCCGCAGCTGCAGGCCGTGACCGCCACTCTGCGCCTCTCCCACGAAACTCTGCGCTGGCCTCGGCGGTCCGTATAACACTGTGTTGACCGGCAAGTATCTCAGCTCCTCCGGCGTGTATCTGGGAACGCGGGGCGAAGGATTATTCGCGATGATAGAATCACGGATAAACGATTGTCGCTTTATAGCATGTATAGACGCGGAAACACTCACAGATCGAGGATTACACTCATGCCATGAGGGTGTTCATAAGTCAAACGATTTGTCCACATTTTCCAGGATTTTTTAGTACTTTAAAGCTGCTTCTAATGGCTGCAATTTTTTTGCCAAAAGTACAATCTCTGTGTTTCATACGAGCAATGATTAATGTGTAAATTAATGTCCAAACTCTTGAGTGAAGCAAATTATGAGATGTAATGTAAGATAGACATTTCAAATAAATAGAATGCTCAATATCACAGGTGTACTAATACCAAACCTAATAATAGCCAATTTCCAGGAACAGTTTTCGTTACTTGGGGGAATTGAACTTTAAAATTCTAGGGCACTCCAGGTTTTCCAGGACCCTTAAGAACCCTGGGTTTAGAACCGATTGTTACAACACCGTGAAATCACATGTCGAAGGTCAATTTATTATGAAAACTAGAGATCACCCTAGTACAAGGCCAATTTTTATGCACATAAGCTGCATTTTTAAAGCTGGTTATCTAAAATGCTGTTGACCCATTGCCACTGGTCTATGGCACGTTTGTCTCCTGACCTAATTCAAATGGAAAACGTGCTGTGAATGAACCCTGATGGGCTGTGATGGCCCAGCATTGCTACTTATGTAAGCACAAACGCCGTTTTCTATGTGCATAAGCAAAGACACTGCAAGTCTGCAATCTGTCGCATTCATTCATCTGACAACAAGATACTTAACCATTGCACACTCGGAATGCTCAGCGAAGATGTCTTTTTAGCAACGATATCAAATAATTCTACATCATCTACAGGGTAGAATACGGGATGGAGGCTTTTACGTGATACACGGATATGTGATGGGGGCGGTTACGGGATCAGACAGGGGTTCTAAATAGTACACGCAGTACGGGATACGGGAAGGAAGGTTCGAGATACGGGGATAGGGATTCTAACATACTCACGGAATACGGAATGTCCGTACGCGTGATGTCCGTACGTGTGATGTCCGTACGTGTGATGTATGTACGTGTGATGTCCGCACGTGTGATGTCCGCACGTGTGATGTCCGTACGTGTGATGTATGTACGTGTGATGTCCGTACGTGTGATGTCCGTACGTGTGATGTTCGCACGTGTGTTGTGTATTCTTCTTCTTAGGAGACATTGCGCATGCGCGAGGACCGTTTCTGGCGTGCAGTGCGGACTGAAGGCAACTGCATAATATAGCTTGCTCAGAGAGAGCTGGGGTGGGAGGCTGGGGAAAGGTGGCTGAGCGAGGGACAACGGAGGCAAAGAGAAGGGCAGGAGGGGATGAAGTAGGACTTTTGCACCCTACAGGCTAGGGCGCTCTTCCAATTATAAACACAGGTCTACTGATAAGAATTAATTTCAGAAATCTGTGCTGAGATACCCTCTAACCATATTAAATGCGTATTTATTACAAAATATAACTCCCCTGGTGAGATATTGCGCATGCGCCAATACACTAACTTAGCCAGATTGTGTAATGAATGGTATATGCAGCAGCCACCTTACATGCAAGACCTTCTTCCTATTTCTTAAGAGAGGGATACAGATAAAATGTTATTATATAAATCTATGCGATAATACCTCCTCTCAAGATTAAATGCATAATTTTCGCAAAATATTCTTCTTTTCTGGTGATATTGCGCATGTGCGAGCACCGTTGATGCAGTACGGACGGAAGATAACTGCATAATATAATACGTTTTACGTAATGAATCATAGGTAAACTAAGGCATGCGAATGTTTAATTTTCATGATTCGAGCGAGTTCTATACCTTCTACGTACGCCTCTCTCACTTATATATAATTATATAGGCCTACTCCCGATATCATGATTCTGCCCAAACACAAGTGTCTGCATGTACGGTTCCACATTGGAACATTTGCCGGTATACGCGTACATTACTTCAGTATATATTTTCATTTTCTCAAGATCATTAGCAGCTTAGGCAAGGTCCCACTCTCAGTACAAGTTTGTATATATAGTATTAGTATTTGTATTGGCTGGTATATTGATGTTTAACTAAATAATACTTTGCGATATGAGATAATGACTCTAGTATAATGACTCTATAGCCCAATTCCCAACTATTATAAGCTATACTTACTAACACAATATTGATTAATGGGACAACGTATTCACTCCAATATTTTTTACTAGTAATGACCACAGCCTGGGCTAATATTAAGATGTGTGACAAAATCGCATAGACCCTACACGATTCCACATTATTTCTTATAAATATGGACATATCCTTGTTAGTAAATAAACAAAAAGCAGAAGACATGTGTAAATCTACAGACCACTCTAGCGAACAGGACGAATTATGCTTGTTTAGCAGAGTCAATCTTCAACTGTCAACATCTTACCTAACTTCAAACGCAACATATAGGTGTACTAAAAATAAGATCTAATGCAAAACGTTAATCTTTACTGTAAAAATGACAGAGCTAAACTCGTAACATTTCAAGTGGTGATGAAACTATTATACAGTAATGCAAAAGTTTTTGTTTTGACATATAATATCACAGCTTATTTATTTATCCAAATTTAATTATTTGCCAGGTGGAATACTGCATTAAAGGAAGAGTAGTTTTTCTTATTTATTTTTTTTAAATTTTTTTTTTTACATCTTTTATGAGAAGAAGAAGCTCAACATTTCTCATTTTTATGTTAATGAGGCTGGGAGGCGAGCAAAGTGACTGCAATAACTAAACAGCAATTTTTGTAGTTAGGCCAAATCCTCGCCTTCTTGAGCGAAGTCCTCAATTCGGGGTCAGGGGTATAAGGGCCCTCGGTGTAGACCTTGCACGTGAGGCGTGTGTGTGCGTGTCTTCCTCTACCGCCGCTGGCACCCCGCCGCCGCCGCGCCGCCGCCGCTGCCGCTGCCGACGCTGCCTCTGCACCAGCGACTATCGGATTAATTTCCCTGGTACGTTTTTGCAGGATTACGTTCTCTCCTTCCCATCGGGCCCAAAACACACAGAAACTCCCCCCCCGCCTCCCCTCCCCGCCATCTCTCCCGCGCGCCGCTACCGCGCATACAGTCTCATTCCCCCTCGGGGCGAGGCAAGCAGTATCACACGGATGTTGGACACTGAGCGGGCTTAGTGAGAGACGATCGAAACACCTCACACCTATGACGCTTGATCGTCTCGCCCGCCCGCTTGCATAATCTGCCGTAAGTTACCTGTAATTAGTTTAGCTATAGTCACGTGTGTGTGCGCGAGCTGTCGTGATAATTCGGGCAGGTATGATAGCGGCAGTCGCGGCCCGGCGTGGCGCGGCGTCAAAGAAATAAATAAATAAATATATATCAGAAGTAGATAATAGTAGTTTTCTAATTCTAATACATATATATATATTATGTGTGCGTGTGTGTGTGCGTGTGTGTGTGCGTGTGCGTGTGCATGTGCAAGTGCGTGTGCGTGTGCGTAGGCTGTGCGTGTGCGCGTGCGTGCGTGATCTTGCGTGCGTGATCTTGCGTGCGTGATCTTGCGTGTGTGATGCTTGCGTGCGTGTGGTGGCGTGCGTGAATCTTGCGTGCGTGATCTTCGGCGTGTGGGGCGTGTGTGATTCTTGCGTGTAGATGGTGCGTGCGTGATCTTTGCGTGGCGTGTGTGCGCGGGTGCTCTTAGCGTGCGTGTGTGCGGCGTGATCTTGGCGGCGTGCTCTTGCGTGCGTGTGTTGGCGTGACGTGATCTTGCGTGCGTGATCTTGCGTGCGTGTGTGCGTGCGTGCTCTTGCGTGCGTGTGTGCGTGCGTGATCTTGCGTGCGTGATCTTGCGTGCGTGTGTGCGTGTGCGCGTGTTTTGCTCTATCGTAAATCATTGTTAGTCGACGATCGGTAATGGCTCGTCTCCGTTCGCGACGAACACTCGTGACAGCGATTGTTACGATAAAGCACCGCTAGTCATTATAATTCCCATTAGGTGGGTGTAGCCGCCGTGCAGCGCGCTCGTGACATGTGTGGCCTATACCTGTAGGTGGGTCAGGACCAAAATGCCGTTTATATGAAACCACACATTGTATTATATTGCCGATGTGGGTTTAGTTCGAACATCGTGAAAGATGGGAGATAACCGGTCTGGACACATTCCTCAAAAATATCGTAAGGTCAGCGACTATGGGAAATATCGCGTGTTTTTTGAAAACGGGCCCGCAGCGCATAAGATGGCAGGCGTGCATGTGGGCGCGATTCTGATTTTCCACGTTTAAATGTTTCACTACGCGTAACGGTTTTGCCGTGATGTCGTGCATAAGAAGATTCACGTACAGGATTTGGCGATATGTTATCAGCGTTTACCCCTCAAAACCAGATATAAATCGACCGCGCATAATTATTTGCCGCCGCGTGTGGAGTTGGGAGAGGGAGGGGCGGGAACTCTCTCTCAAATCGGAAATGTTCGCCGTTCCGCTTCACTGTCACGAACCATTACGCCTCCAACACATGCGCTTAATAAATTACAAAACAAAAAATGTTCTCACGCGATCCAATACTGGACTCATGGCCTGGGAAATATGTATTGTTACAGGCACTTGCTGAATGCAGGTTGCATTACGTATCTAATGACGCGCCTCAGCCCCGAATAACCTTCAACAACAGCGACGAAAATCTTTCTGACACTAACGTAGCGCTGGAGACTATGATGTTACATTTACGCACTGTACTTAGCCTGACACCGTACGGTCGCAATTCGTTCGATATCTCGGATCAGCCCACGTGGAACGCGGAGGAGTCAGGTCAAAGCGTGGTTTTTTTTATCCGCCATGACGGGTAGTTTTGGTGATGTAAGGTTGTATGACACGCGTACGTAGTAAATTACGTTAATTGTAATTTCGCGAGTAACGAGTAAGAAGACAAGGTACCGATTCTCTCTCCTCTCTCTCTCTGCTCCCTCTTCTCTGCTC